TTATTTTTCCTCTTAAAGAACCTTGACCGTATAAACCTTCTTGTACTAAATGATTTATACATTCTTTACAGAATAAATGACCCTCGTTACAACACGTGAAATCTTCGAAAGGATAATCACCATAGCAACAACCACAAGTGATTAGTTGATTGTTTTGGGTGTATTCGGTGAAATTAATTTGTTTTGCTATTTTGTGATCATTACGAGATAATTCATCTAGCTGGAGAGATTTTAATTTATAAACTTCGCTAATTAAATCTTTATCATCTATATCGATATATTTTTTGCGCTTAAAAACGCTAAATATAGAATTCCACCAATAACTATTATTATGAGACAAATCTTTAAGTTTATCATAACTTTTTCTATAATCAAAATTATTCTCGGCCAAAACAGCTTTGATGGTTGATTTCCAAATATCCGGAAAATCATTATATAAACGATATCTGACTGCTTTACGATATTGTGGCGAGCGAATCAATTCCCAATCTTCTATGACGAAAGGTTGAATCCTTTTTGGATAAGCTTTTTGTTGTGAAGATTTTTCCATATTTAATAGCATTTCAGTAATTTGATGAACATGGTTAATAAATAAGAGTTTTTTGCTTCGATTGAATTGGCGTTTGTACAACCTTTTGGTACTTTTGGGTAGTGTCCTTTGTTGTAATTAAATATTTTTTCACTAATACGTTCAACATGATTATCACGATAAAACCCAATGCAATAATTTAAATATTCTTGATCTATAAATATAGTATTATGTTGTAAATATATATATACGTTTGTAAATATATAGTGTGTGAATAAACAAAATTTTTAATGTGAATTATTATATTTATTTATCTATATAATCTTTATATTTTACTTTCTTTCTGTAATTATGTAAAAAAAAAATTTATGCAAAACAGTTAACTTTACCTGCATCAGGAAATATTGAAATCAATTGTTCAAGAATTATATCCCTTTGAGTATTTATTGTTATTGTTTTAGAGGCTGACGACGACGAAGAAGATTTATTAGATCCAAATATTGAGGTTTTAAACATATTTTATTTATTTATTTGTATGTGTAGTTTATGGTTTAAAGAAAAAATATTAGAATGTGTGAAAATAATAATGATTTAATTGTTACCAAAAATGTTTAAAATTAATTTTTTAAGGATTTTTTAGGTATTATATTTATATAAAATTGGTCATATGCGTAAATTTGGAAAGAAACAAATTAAACTATTTTGAATTCTAGATCAGGTGATTGGGAAAACAATCAATTTTTAGAAAATATTTAGAACATTCTGGAATCAATTTATTCTGAGGGAAAAGAAAGCTTAAAAGCCTCACTCAAATCAGATCAAATCAAAATACAAATAAAACCAATTGCTTACCTTGGCTTTTAGGAGGATTGGGAGTGTTAGGATTTCCTAACTCTAGCATAAATACTTATTGGGAAAAGGTATTATCATCGACATTATATATTTTTTTATCTCTTGATAAAGTCCTTTAATAATGATTTTTTATATAAATTGCAAACTAGAGTTTTGATGATTCACCTTATTTACAAGTTTACTCATTAAATAGTAAATCTTGTTGCACAAGTTCCAAAAGAATTGATCGTTTACCTTTCACAAATCCTGTTCAAATTTACAGAATATTAAAGGTTTGTAAGAATACAATATCAATTTAAACCATTTAAATTTTTTTCTCTTATAATTCATTTTAAATCTTCCTTAGTTATTGCGCCAACAACTTGTTTACAATACATTGTTTCAAAGTTGTTTCAATTCTTTTACATATAAACCTTCTCAACCCAAACAAAATAGAATGGACGTTGATGTTGAAGGAGGTTTGTGAATATTTATATATTTTCAGTAATATCCATAAACATTAATTATTTTTTTATTTAAAAATAGTTTCATCAAGAAAATTGGAAATAAGGTTTAATGTAATAGATCCACCAAACAAGTTTTCAATAAGTTTCCAATCAACTAATCTTGCGTCATCATCATTTATATTTTTACAAATTACCATACAACAAGATTCACGGTTATTGGTTACATCCCAATTAACTAGTAATGTTGGTGAGACAATACTGGATGACAAAAAATTAACAAAAGTTTTAGAAATTTGTCAAAACATACCAATGTTGATTGAATGGGTTCTCAAGGCTTTAGATAAAAGGTTTGGAGAACAATATAGCCACCAATGACATGTTGAGATAGGGTTTTAACAAGGATTATTTCATTAATGATTCAAGAAATAAATAAAACAAACCAATAACTCTTCCCTCAAAAAAAAAAAAAATAATAATAATCTCAATATGAAATAATAAATGTCTCCTTTAACATAGATTCTCCACCCAAAGTTTCATTAAATGAGTTTATTAACTCTAGCTTTTTATTATATTAATATGTAATGTTGATCTAGTTTATTATGAGTGATTTTTTTGAGGAACAGATAGTCTTAGGAGGCCTTCAAAATCGAATATCATTTCTTAATTAGGATAAATTTTGTGATGGCCCTGTAAACTATTTCCAAAAATGGTAAAGTATAAGATTGTTCGAGTATATAGAACCCAGATAAACCGAATATCATTCGGCGGATACAACTACTTGTAACTATACTATTATCATATCCCATGTTATAAAATTTTTTTTCACATTTGAGGAAGATTTATAAAAATGGATCTCTGCAAAATACTGTACATATGTTTTATATAATCATTGTTGTATTAGTAAATTTTTAATCCTCATCTTATAGGTTGATATAGAATTTTCGTTGAATGGTGAATGTGATGGATGTCTTATGTCTAGAATGATCCATGTGATGCATTCACTTTGATTCATTATAACAAATTTACCACTTATATATAATAGTACTTCTGCATTATTTCGCACTGACTATAAAAGGACCTAGATAAATTTTACCCTTAAAAGTCTGGGACCTAAATTTTTTTCTAATAATACTTGGGACCTCAATTAGAAGTTTCTGGTACGAGTGCATATCTGAGTACTCAATTTCAAACTCTCACTAACCTCTATACTCAAAATAAATTTACTTGAGATGTCCCTCCAAACAATATATATATATATATATATAGTAAATTTAAAAGGGGCCCATAATTAATTGGCCAAACCATTCATCATCAGAAAGGGAAGGTTATGAATCCGTCTTTGCATTTTGTACTACTACTACTGAAATTATTTTGTGACGCTGTAGGTCTTTTGCTACGCCTTCAAGTAATAAAATTTTTTAAGACCACCATGTCTACTTCCAAAATTCCTACATTAGCAAGGCTTCAAAAACAAAGATTATTGATACTTTCACTTAAAAAATGGATTCCAAAACTTCGATATTTGTTGTTTATTATAGGAATCTGTTGGTTTTTTGTATTTCCACTAGAAAAATATAATAAGCATACGTATATATCAGAGAATGCACTTCTTCCTGGTCAGGTATATTAATGGTTATATTATGCTTATATAAATAATCAAAATTATTTATAAACTCTTAACTAATGTATATATATATATATGATATATTGATACAGGTCAATACATATTATAGTTGGTCGAATGTTTTTGAAGCTGCAGACTATCGAGATCAAATTGAATCAGTGTCAAATGCATCCAAGATAGAGTAGGAAATAAAAATCCAAATCGGGGGGTTTTTTGTTAAATTGTTCAATATTATTTATTACATACATATTATATAAATATTTATATGCATAATATATTGTTATTATTAGGAAAGTTTCTTTTATAGAAAACAAATTACGGATGGCAGGTCTAAAAACTGCAACTCAAAACTTTACTGTAAAAGTTTCAGGAAAAGTAATTAATAAAATTCTTGGCTGTTTCCGTTTAATTTAATCTAAAATTTTATATAACTTGTTCGAATATAGACAATCTCTGGTATAAATGTTTTTGCGGTGTTGAATGCACCAAGAGCTGATGGGACAGAAGCGCTTGTGTTGAGTGCTCCATGGAAATCAAGAGATGATTTAACAAGTAAATTTTAAAATTTTTGATTTTTTTTAAAAAAGATTTTGATTTTTTTAAAATACATTAATAATTTGAGAGTTTTTTTTTTTTAAAAAAAGCTAATGTTAATGGTATAGCAGCAATTCTATCCATTGGAAAATTTTTTAAAAGTAAATTTTGTTTTGAAATTTATGGTTTAAGAAAAGTTAACAGACAGCAAAAACATATAATTTCATTTTTTCAATAATACATGATTTTGATAGGAAAAACACTTGTGATTATTATATAGGTTATACATATTGGTCAAAAGATATTATATTCTTGATTACTGATGAAGGAGAAGCAGGAGTTCAAGCTTGGTTGGAATCTTATCATGATTATCAACGATCAAGTAATGTTTAAATTTGCTAAATATTGTTTTTATTTGTGCATTATTTATTTATTTATGATTAAGGAAGATTATAATTATTAGATATTATAGCAAGTCCTTTACTTTTACGCTCAGGTGTAATTCAGGCAGCGATTAATTTAGATTTTCCTGGAACCAGTGATTATCGAGCAATCGAACTATTTTTTGGTAATTATAGAATTGGGGGTTGTTTATCATTTTTTATAATAATTATTATTATTAATTGATAAATTATTTTTTAAAAAAATTATCAGAGGGTGTTAATGGTCAACTTCCCAATTTAGATTTAATCAACATTATTATACTTTGTACTGCCAGAGTTTCATATAGCATCCCCATAAAGTTAAATGGTTCAGGACATTATTATAATTTTAATGACGCTGGTGATTATTTGTCATCTCTGTATAATTTATTAATGACAATGAAATATCAAGCTTTAAGTCATCCAACTGGTAGTCACGGGTTATTCTTTAGGTATTTAGATTTAAAAAATGGAGATTTTCGGATTTCTTAATAATGAACATGAAATGATTAATAGTAAATTGTTATTTATCAGGTATAAAATTGATGCCATTACTCTATATGGTAAAAGTGATGCGCCAGTTTCCAGTAGTTATGGCTTTATGGAAATTGGATCGTGAGTAACAAAAATTTTTATTTTCTGATAAAAAACATAAAATCTTTTGTGTGTGTATATATATATTTATATTTATAACATTAAAGGATTATAGAGTCGGCATTTAGAAGTTTAAATAATCTGCTTGAACATTTTCATCAATCATTCTTTTTTTATCTTTTACCTTCACCACAACGATATATTTCAATAGCATCATATTTACCACCCGTTATATTATTGGCAGTTGGTTTAATACTTCATATATCCTTTAAAAATCTATAAAAAGACTTTTGTTTATAAATCTATATATATATTATATATGTATATATCTTAACTTCATATATATTATTTAATTTTTACGCTTTGGAATTATGGGGCTCTACAAGCGATATCCCAATTACAACAAATGAAAATGACAAAATAAATCAACAATTAAATCAAGCTCAATCTTCTGAATCAGTTGAATTAAAACCAAAGGTCTTATCCTTGCCATATAATAAAAGACCAAGGGAAATTTTATATCCAATGATTGGATTAGTAATATCTCATATTGCTGGATTGGTTATTTTCTTTGTTATTGTGAATCATTTTAAATTTAATTGGATATCAAATTTATTTAATATAAAGGTATTTTTAATTTCAATATTTAATGATAATAATAATGGTAATAGCAGTATTGTTATTATTAATAATAAATTAATTTATCGATTATATTTTAGAACTATTTATTTACACTATTTATAACCACAAGCATCTCGGTAACATTTTCATCAATAATTAATTCACTCTTTCAATCACATTCTAAACAAATTAAAATAATATATAAGAAACAACCACTTAAACCAGCATCAGATTGGATCATATTAAAATCATTTACATTGGCATTTTCAGGGATGTTAATATCATGCCTTTCAGTGTTAAATTTTAGTTTAGCAGTATTTATATCATTATTAGTATTGATTCCATTTTCACTATTTCAACCAAATCAGAAGAATCAACCACAAAAAAACATTACAATTTATTTACAATCATTAATATTATTTATGATTTCACCACCAGGAATATTAATAATATCAAGGACTAACATAGAAGATTTTTTAAATTGGGCTTTATTAGAATATGAATTACTTGGGAGTTATCTATTGCCAGTAATATGTTGCTTCTATTGGCCATGTATTATTGCTTATTCAGTTATAATATTTTCCCCAAATTAACCAATTAATAATAATATAGGTCAATTTTTTATTTATTCTATTTTAAAAAAATTCCAGTAAATAATAAACTTTTACCACATTCAACAAACACACTACTTTTTGTATATATTTATTTATTTATTTTAAGATTAATTAAAAAAAACCCCCCCCCCCCATTTTTTAGCATAATTTCTCAATTCAAATAAAAAAATAATCTTATAATAATTTTAGCTTCTTTAACCATTTTAACAATAACAATTATCAGAATGAAATAAACATTTTCTCAGTGAGATGATTGAGCTTTGATTATAATTATAATTAATATCTTACAAAATAATAAAAAATAAATAAACCTAAAATTGCGTGACACCGATTTCATTTGAAAATAATAATTTCAGAATTTCAAATAAAAAAAAAATGGTTTTTTATTTTACGAGTAACGGTTAGTGATATCAACAATAACAATAATACAATTAATTAATAATATTAATGATTTAATTTTTTTTTATTAAAAAAAAAAGTTGTTGACCCCCCTGCCACAATTTACATGGGCAAAGATAAAGAAGAAAGTAGGTATTGTGTTAAAATTTTATATTTAAAAAAAAAAATATATTTTATATTTATTTATTAATTATTAAAAAAATCCAATTAATTAGATGATGAACTGATTAAACATGGATGGGATAATGATGTATGGTGAGATAAAACTAATAAAATACATACACACATTCATTTATATTTTTTGGAAGAAAAAATTTTATTAAATTCTTTTTTCTTTTTTTATTAGGGTAAAGTATTAAATATAATCCCAATCAATACAATTATCATCATCGTCGTCATCGTCATCGTCATCGTCATAATAATAATAATAATAACTATTATTATTATTAATAAATAAATAAAAAGTTCCATGCAGATAAAATCTCAAGTGCTCATGTTTATCTTAGATTACGATCAGAACAGAAATGGGATAATATCCCTTTAGATCTTTTAAATGATCTGGGCCAATTGGTCAAAGCTAATAGCATACAGGGTATGGTGTATATTTACATCTATTATTTATTTATACATATAATCACACATATAAAAATTCTCTTTTTTGCAGGAAGTAAAGAAAAAAGCATCACAATTGTATATACGCCTTGGTCAAATTTATTGAAAACACCTGGTATGGCTACTGGTGTAGTATCTTTTCATAAGCAAAATATGGTAAAAAAAATTATATCATAATTATATATATCGGTAATAATAATAATGTAATAAATAAATTCTCGTTTTTAAAAAATTCTTTTTAGGTAAAAAAATTCCAAGCTGGAAATAAAGAAAATGTAATTTTAAAAAGATTAGAGAAAACTAAAATAGAACGACATCCAGATCTTGAGGCTGAGAAAGTGGATATGGAGAAAGAAGTTCGTAGAATAGCTCGTGAGAAAGCTAATATTATAGTAAGTATAATCATACGTGCACGCACACATACACATATAGATGCATTGGTGGGTTTTTTATTTATGAAATAACTAATTGCTAATGAATTTTTTAAAATGTAACAGAAACAAGAGCAACTTCGTTTAGAAAGGGAACGTAAGGAACAAAAGGCAAAAAATTCATATGATACAATATTTGTTGAAACAAATATGAGAAGTAATACTGATGCAATTGATATGGAAGAGGATTTTATGTAAATTTATTACTCTATATATATATATATATACACACACACTTACGGATATTAGTAACTATATCTTTTGACACGATATTTTTATTTCGACAAAAATTGATAGATATATTTAAAATATATATTTTCTATTATAAAAGTAAAGAATAATTGTCATTTATCATCTAAAAAAACCAATATATAAAGAATAAGAAAAAAAAAAGTAATTGTTTTATTGATTAAAGTAAATAATATACACGCAAAAGAGTTTTGTTGAAAAGGAATAATATATAAATCAAGGTAGTAAATAATCTACAATTTTTTCTATTGCTCGATCAATTGCTTCCCTAATATATTTTTCATCTTTTTTAAAACACACACCCCCCCCAATTAAATTAGTATTTTAACATAACCAATAATGTAAAATAACCAAAAAAATAAAATAGTCAATGCATACCATCATTTTTTATTGGACCTATAGCAGTATTTTCCAATAGATTAACATCTCTTGCTTCAGGATGTAATTTTATATATTCAGCTCTTGCTTTAGCGGCAGCTTCTTTTACCACTTTTTCTTCATCTTCTGTTTTGTAAAGATCACATTTATTACATTTTTTGCATTTTTGTCCGGGTATTGGTCGGAAATGATCACAGACTAGAAAAATTTTTTTATAAAAAAATTATATTGAGAATTATGTATAAACAACACGCTGAACACACTGTATCTATATATAAGCAATTATTTAAATAAATCACTTACAATGTGCATATGATTCTTGACGTAAATCTTTTCTACAGAGATAACACATTACATATCCTAATAATAAATGACATAAATATTATGTTAGATAAATAAAGCATTTGCTATAATTATAATAATTATAATTGTATAATGATACTTTACCACATCTACATGTCATTTTATTACAACCATCCGCTTTTGTAAATGAAACATGACATTTTGGACACTATATCAAAAATCAAAATATATATTTTCTTTTGTTAATATACATATATACACTCCCTCGTACATATAATTATATAGACTAACTAATAGAATTAAACATACTGTTCTTTTTACAGCTTCTGCCATAGCTCTTTCTACATAAAGTCTTAAACTATCTTGTTCTTGCTCGTAACATTTATGAAAAGGTCTGCTTTCTCGATTACACAATAAGCAAGACACTTTATTACATTCTGGATTTCTACATTTAAAAATATTACCTCTGCGTTTTCTTTTCACCTAATTAGAAAAAAAAACTATTACTATCATAGCAATAACATTTTGATGTAATATTTTTAATATAATGACTATTTTACATACCCTTTTCACGATATTGTCAAAATCTTCAAACCAAGTTTTTATCGGAAACAGACCCAATAAACTTAAAAATATTTGAGGTATGACAATAATAGCAACTACATTCAAAGCACTCATAACATTTTCGAAAGAAGTGAAAAAAGGTAAAAGAGCCAAAGGAACGCTGCTAATTATTATAAAAGTTTTTGGTATTTTTATTTGGCGAAAAGGATCATCGTCATCATCATCTGCTTCACAATAAGGACAAAAAGGACATTGAATAAGTAAAAGATTTGATTGTTTTAAAGAATGTTCTATTAATGACTCTGCATAACGTTTGAAAAGATCAGGATTTAAGCAGGATTTAAGTTTTTCCTCAGTAAAATAGCCATTGCAACCACCACTAGTGGCCGCACCAATTCCATCATCACCGGGTGAAGAAGAATCAATACAATTAATTATTTTTCCTCTTAAAGAACCTTGACCGTATAAACCTTCTTGTACTAAATGATTTATACATTCTTTACAGAATAAATGACCCTCGTTACAACACGTGAAATCTTCGAAAGGATAATCACCATAGCAACAACCACAAGTGATTAGTTGATTGTTTTGGGTGTATTCGGTGAAATTAATTTGTTTTGCTATTTTGTGATCATTACGAGATAATTCATCTAGCTGGAGAGATTTTAATTTATAAACTTCGCTAATTAAATCTTTATCATCTATATCGATATATTTTTTGCGCTTAAAAACGCTAAATATAGAATTCCACCAATAACTATTATTATGAGACAAATCTTTAAGTTTATCATAACTTTTTCTATAATCAAAATTATTCTCGGCCAAAACAGCTTTGATGGTTGATTTCCAAATATCCGGAAAATCATTATATAAACGATATCTGACTGCTTTACGATATTGTGGCGAGCGAATCAATTCCCAATCTTCTATGACGAAAGGTTGAATCCTTTTTGGATAAGCTTTTTGTTGTGAAGATTTTTCCATATTTAATAGCATTTCAGTAATTTGATGAACATGGTTATTGTTTTGATTTGAAATGCAGTCACGCAGAAAGGATATGTCGCATTCTGGAAATAGATCGTTTAGTTGTAATAAATAAGAGTTTTTTGCTTCGATTGAATTGGCGTTTGTACAACCTTTTGGTACTTTTGGGTAGTGTCCTTTGTTGTAATTAAATATTTTTTCACTAATACGTTCAACATGATTATCACGATAAAACCCAATGCAATAATTTAAATATTCTTGATCTATAAATATAGTATTATGTTGTAAATATATATATACGTTTGTAAATATATAGTGTGTGAATAAACAAAATTTTTAATGTGAATTATTATATTTATTTATCTATATAATCTTTATATTTTACTTTCTTTCTGTAATTATGTAAAAAAAAAATTTATGCAAAACAGTTAACTTTACCTGCATCAGGAAATATTGAAATCAATTGTTCAAGAATTATATCCCTTTGAGTATTTATTGTTATTGTTTTAGAGGCTGACGACGACGAAGAAGATTTATTAGATCCAAATATTGAGGTTTTAAACATATTTTATTTATTTATTTGTATGTGTAGTTTATGGTTTAAAGAAAAAATATTAGAATGTGTGAAAATAATAATGATTTAATTGTTACCAAAAATGTTTAAAATTAATTTTTTAAGGATTTTTTAGGTATTATATTTATATAAAATTGGTCATATGCGTAAATTTGGAAAGAAACAAATTAAACTATTTTGAATTCTAGATCAGGTGATTGGGAAAACAATCAATTTTTAGAAAATATTTAGAACATTCTGGAATCAATTTATTCTGAGGGAAAAGAAAGCTTAAAAGCCTCACTCAAATCAGATCAAATCAAAATACAAATAAAACCAATTGCTTACCTTGGCTTTTAGGAGGATTGGGAGTGTTAGGATTTCCTAACTAGAAAGAAAGGAGAGAATAGATGATGGTTAATGTTCAAGAATGACTAGATAAGGAATATCCAAAGGAGATTAGAAAAAATGTTTACAAAACTATATTTCTATGAAAAAACCTTGAAGGATTTCTAAACTTATCCGACTTTGCAAATCTAATTCATTTAGAATGTCCAAGGAACCAAATTACCAGTCTGAATTTAAGTAAAAAACCCTAAATGAACTCTTTTAGACTGCTACAATAACAAAGTAAAAAAATAGATCTAAGTAGTTGTAAAGATTTAGATCAATTATATCTGTAGGTTAATTTGTTGGATGATTTGGAATTTTTAGAAAAGTTGCCTAATCCAGAAAATTTACTTACTTTGGATTTAAATATCCCTCCTCATGATTTAACTATTTTTAGTAGATTTTATTAACTCATTGAATATTAGCAATAATCGATTTTACGGAAATTTGAAAATAAAACACTTCTAATACTAAATATTACTACTGAAGGGCTAGAAAACTTGTCAATAAGTTTAGAAAACCAAATATTGGTTTTTGGCAAATAGAGAAATAGGGGAACAAAGATTCAAATATACGTTCAATTAGAGAAAAGCAAAGCAGAAATAATTCTTAATATTATCAGAGAAAAAAAAAGAAAAGATAATAGAAGCCTATCTCCAATTTGCTCGTTACTACAACAACTAATCATAGCTCAACTAGAATTTAAGCAGAGCCCAAAACCAAAGATTACCAGTAGTCAAACTTTGTAAAAGAAAAGAATTAGCTTATTCTCAACTAGAAGACAAGTTAGGAGAAGAACTAATGGAACAAGTCGATCCCATTCTGGCCAACTGTGATGAGCTAATTGTCAAAGGATTGGAAATAAAATTTTTGCGGATTAGAAATTGATAAACAAACCCCAAGTATTATGTCACAATGTGAACACTGGAGACCATGCCGATTTTAGTTATCAAAACAATAAATCCCCAAAACAACAAGCCCAAATTCTCCAACCCACTTACGGCATCCCTGATTCAAAAACAATTAATTTCCCACGACTAAATCTTGTTAATTATCTTGGTTTTTTCTAATCTCTAAAAACTTGCTTAATAAATTTCTTTCCGATCAAGGGTTCTCCTAACTTTCACTCAATAATTTTCAACTTTGTTAAAAAAAAATCGCTATTGTTCGGTCAATTTTGGTTAAAACTTTCTCGGCAGTGTCTTTTCAGATTATTTTATATATATTATTTCAAGTCAAGTTTTTTCTTTAATTCCTCAAGTGTAATAATATATTTGGCATTTTGTTTTCAACGCAATTTTTAATTTAAATAATTTTTTATTATTTTAAAAAAAATAAAGCATAAATTAAAAAAA